GGGAGTGCAACCTTTCCCTTTGGAATGCAAGCTTATAGTGATTTTAGTTTTTTTTTCCCTCTTGTGTATAAGGCTTCTTTTTGTTTTTTAATTCGACCTCTTCAAGGCGACTCTCGCAACACCCTGTGTCACATTCCACAGGCAACTTTCTACGCATAAAATTCAAGAATCCCGAAACGCGATTTCGATCTTCTCGGAGTGGAAAAAATCCCGACCGTTGCGGGGGACACGGATAATTATCGACTCGTAGTTTTTTCGTAGGAGTGTTTCCCAGTGGATTCATTCACGCGTGGAAAAATCGATGGGAGAGATCAATGATTGTCACGATGATGTTATTCATGCATGTGAATGTTTGAAATTCCATTCATCGATACGTTACCAGGGGAATTCTACTCGACTCTTCAATGCGCACGAAGAAATTTCGTGGGAGAAGCAGGCGGTTTCTGTTGGAAATTGTGTTGGATTTCGGTTGAACTTGTATTGAGTTTTATTATTCTATTAAAAAAATATTGGATTTAATTATTTGAGAATTTTAGTAGGTTTGGGCTAATTCTGTCGATCAATTCCGAAGGTTCACGCGTTTCTTTAGTGGATAATATGTTATAGAAAATGTCAGCAGAATTTGATGTTTCTATATGGCTTTTTCAATTGACACATTTTCTGCAGGAACTCCTCGACATGAGTTATTTCTTCTTTTCATTAAAAAATCGAATGCTATTGATTATTGTTATAGAATAGTTCTCATCGAATATTTCTATTGAAAAAAACGGCCAGAAACAAATAGAGAGTTCAATAGAAACTGAATAGAATTTTCTATCGAATTCGTTAGGTTTTTCAATTACATTTTTTCATACGTGAATGCGTGTTTTGAAAAAAAATCGAATTCCATTGATTATTCCTACTGAGTACTTTCCATTAAACATTTCTATCTAAACAAAACGTCTAAAAACAAATAGAGAGTCCAACAGAAACTGAATATAATTGTCTATCGCCTTCGCTAGTCTTTCAATTACATTTATCCATCCACGAATACGTGTTTAAATTTCGATCTGCAGGCACCGAAGAAGCCGACTTATTTCTAGAACTGCCGACACCAGAGCCTGATAGATGAAGAGTTAAAGAAAAATAATCCCACTAGTTTATGAGAGTGATAAGCTACTTGCCAATGAGATCGGGTTTCGTTATAACTCGCATGTTTCATTATTGATTCATTTTTCTCCGATGTATCAATTTCTTATCAGTATTGCGATAACAATGCGTGAGAATACAGTGATCACGAAATAAAGGTACAATCATGAATTGTGCTTCAACAGTGAAGAAGGAGCTCTGCGTGGCATGCAACGAAAGCAATATGCGTTGAGTCTGAGGTACCGTTAATTCGGGTGGAACGTGGCAATTACGAATTCTCAATGCCGGTATACATTCCTCTTTTTTTTTTCAACTATACAGAAGCAACAATTTTTCCACCAGGGGAGCATTTCAGAGGAGCTCTCGGGAGGATAAAAGTGACGGAAAATCGCGGCTGACGGAGAATAATCGCGATATGAATATCGGAATGCAATCTGCTCAGTTATTTGCACTTTCAGGTGACAATTGCGTTATGTAAATTGGGCCCCATCGAATGAGTCTTTTACATCAACTGAATTCTCTCGAAATCAACGGATAACTGTTGTTGAAGTACCTCCGTCCGGTTGGACGGATTATTACTGTAAATTCCAATATACTCTCGGAATTTCAAATATGGGAGGGTGAAGTCGCTGCTCGCGAGGTAATGCGCTGCAATAAATTGAATGCGGGAGAGAAAACTACATGACATTGGGAGGGGTGTATAAATTTTCCTCGATTGGAGGATTAACGAATGGGATCGGCGAAGTCGATGGTAGTGAACAGAAACACATGGAACAAGGAGCGCCACATCAACGCAATTCCATCAATGCAGGGGGCTTTTTTACGGATTTTTCCATCTCTTAGGAGCGATAAATACCTGAGTGTCATGTACATTTCCAATTTCCATGCTCGAATAGTCATACACAATACTCTCAGTTCTGATTATCGATCACTGAACGAAAATCCATTCTATACTTCCTTTCGCACCTACTCAACTACCACGAGTGCAATATATTTTTTTACTCAGAGAAATTTCGATAAACACTCACTTTGTTTACTTACCTAGGTGTATTTACACAAATATCATGTAGGGTGATTATTTTTATTGGATTATGGGGAAATTGAGTTTTTTTGGGGCGAGTGACACTGAACTGAACGATCTTTTTGGAAATGTTAGGGTGTACTCATCGTCGACTGAAAATACCTGAGCTACTACCTGTGGCTCGTCAGCACTCGTTACCGTACGGCCTCGACGCTGACTTTCTTTCACGGTGATGCTGATTGGCTGGCCGCTGTTCCCCACCTGAGATTCTCCAGCGAGTGCAGACTGTATGACAATCGGCCGCCTTCAGGTGCGTATGAACATTAGCGAGAGAAAATCAGCCGGAAATTTTATTGGTGAGGGGGAAACACTTGCGAGCATCGCAGGTGGGAGACAATGCGATGGAAAAGAGTAAATAGGAAGAATGAATGGAAAAAAATGTAGATAGAAAATAATAAAGGGATGAATTGTTCCATAAAAGGGAGGCAATAGATTTATTTTTCGATTCCTTCGAATTCTCTTGGAAATTCTATATTTTTTTTATCATTTCTGCTGAGGATGGGGCAATTTTGACACGAGATTTTCCGATAGATCTTCGGTAAAAGGGAGTCAATAGATTTTTATTTTTCTATGTAACTTATTCTGTCATGTAGAAGTAGAAATTAAATATTGGGAAATTAGTCGATTTTTTTAGGGAGATTCATGAAGGAAATTAAAAAAAAATACGAATGCATTCGCTAAAATGCTCTATTGACTTTCTAGTTCGATTGATATTCTATTGACTTTTCGTGGATTCCTCTTGAAAATTATGCCATTTTGATGGGCGATTTTTTAAGAGATATTTGATTGAAGAAAGTTAATAGATGTTGATATACAACTTTTTTGGCTTTGTTTTCTACAAAGCTTCTTGGTCATGACTTTTCCATTTTGTTTCTTGCATCTTGTACTAAAAAACTGAAATTAAAGGAGAGCTCATGCCCCACAATTCCCTTACAAAACAATTTTAAAGACTGAGTTATATGTACATGTGAAAAACAGAACCTATTGATTTTGTCTTATAAAAAAATATCAGGTAAAGAGTTATCATTAGAAATCAGGAAAAAATTAATTGAATTCCAATAAAGCTCCAACAGAATCCCAATTCTTACATGTATATTAAATCATAATGGTGTAACAAAAATCCATTCACTCATAAGGAATTCCACCAAACCAGATTTCCAGTTAATGATTGTTATCATTCTGATATATTTCTAACTTGATTATACAGCAGGAGAAAAATTAAACGTAAATACTTAAATTCTATTTATTCGAATTCGTAGCTAATAACAATCACACTCAATGAATGTCTCAACTGAAATTTCTCATAGTTTCAAGATTTTTATTGAACTAATGATTATCCAATCCTCAACTTTAGACATCATTGGCGAAATCGCCGGGCTTCTTCCTCACCACACGTTCGTGCTCTTGTTTTGCCCACGAATATACCAGATAAGTGAAAATCATGGCTAAAATAAAAATGATGCAATTAATTTCAATCAACAATTATTGAATTCTCAAAAATTTCGACACACTCACCAGGTCCCACTCTGAGTGCAGATTCTCTGATTCTGCGAATGGTGTTGGGTACACCATGAGATATTGCTCCAGCAAAAGCCTTTTGCTCGTAGGGGCTCAGTCTGAAGTAGACGATCCCTCGGATCTTTGCGAGGTTACCAAAACCCTTTCCCATTGTTGCAAAGAGCTAGAAGGTAAGTGAGATAAAATGGGTATTTTCCCTTTTTTGAGATGTGAATGACTTGGTGAAATCGTAATGAAATGGAATTTTTCCCCGTTGTGAGGAGAACGTAGACTGAGCTTAATCGACAGCGGAGGTTGGGGTAAAACGGACACTTTTTACTTTTTTAAAATCTTAATGAGGGGTTGAAATGTTGATAAAATTCAATGATTTTTTTCAATACAAAGAACAATTCTTTCCCTTTGTGACGAGCCTAAACTGAGTTTAAACGATCAATTTGTTTCTGAGTTATAAATAATTTTAAAAAGTCTAAAGTGTCCGTTTTACCCCACCCTCCTCTAAATTTGTATCAGCGTCATAAACATTGAAAAAAAAAAGTGTATTTTGTCCCATCCACTAATTCCTGTGAATTTATCAAGGAACTTTGCTACTTCATCTGACACATCCACCACAGTTAACCCCATTCATCGAATTCCCAAAACCATACGAGCCAAATTCCAAAATAACTATTAATAACATTTAAAATCTGACTTGCCCTCAAGACTGCAACAATTCATTCTTGCAAATATATCTCCCATACAGACATGTAGGAGAGGGTAGGGTAAAACGGACACTTTTGACTTTTTTTTAAATATTCATGGCGTGTTGAATTGTTCATGAAATGAAATGATTTTATTTTTCAATTGAAAAACAATGATTCCTCTGTGTGATGAGCTCAGCCTGAACTCAATTGATAAATCTGTTTCTGAGTTATGAATATTTTTAAAAAAGTCAAAAGTGTCCATTTTACCCTACCCTCCCCTAATGCCTTAGGCTCGTGAGGGCTCAGTCTGAAGTAGACGGCCCCCCATTTTTACGAGGTTACCAACAGCCTTTCCCATTATCGCAACGAGCTAAAACCCATCCACCCTCAACATTCCACACTGACGTTACCTCTGAACAATTCCTACGAATCTACCAAGAAATATGCCCCTCCACCTGACACATCCACCGCACTTAACCCCATTCATGCAACATGCAAAACCATACTCGCAAAATTCCAAAATGACTATTGACAACATTCAAAATCAGCCTGCAGCTCATCCCCCCAGACAAATTAATTCTCCCCCTCAAGGCCGGAACAATAAATTTCCCAAATATCCTCATAACACAGAAACAAGTATCTTACATAATAACACGAAAAAGCGACTCACTTCCACGAATTTAGACAAGCAACACTGAGCACGATCCCGTGCACTGACTACTGAGCACCGCACGCGCTGCGCTACCTTTCGCCTCTGCCAATCAAACCCCCGATTGCCCCTAGAACCCCCAGTTTTTTCTCCCCTTCACGTTGGCGAGACTGTCCGACGGCCATCGGTCCCTCGCCCCAGCCAATCGCAGCAAAAATACAATCACAAAGTAGCTCCTCCTGTCCGAGAAAGTTGGGACATCCGTGAATTGTGTGATCAATAAAAATTGTGATTGAAAAATAATCCCCCGAAGTGTATCAAAGTGATAACACCAAAAGTTCGAACAAGTGAATTAATGAAGCATCGTTTGTTGTGCCCATTGAAATATGGGACTGTTGTTCATCAACTGCCTGTTTCTTCAAGCCTTCAAAACTTGAGGATCATCAGAATAGACGAAAAAACTAACGAATCTAGGATAGAGATCTGACAAAATCTCGTGTCTCAAGGAATGATTTTCCCTTCCTCAATGACGAGTGCTTCGTTAATCAGTGAGATAATGCCCCCGTTCGGTATATTTGGGACTCCTACGACAGGATAACTCCACGTTTATCGTTATTACAACAGACGGCACATCGAACGGGGCCGAATTAAAGGGAATAAGCCCCAAGCAGCTTGTCGGAGTTCCGTGAAGAGTGAGAGGGCAAACAGAAAATACTGAAAAAGCAGTTAGCCGTGCGCGAGGCTTGGTGCTTGTTCAGTGCTGCTTCTCGTTGCTGCAGGACCACTAGAGACACCCAAAAAGAGTAGTTGAGTTTGCGCGTAACATGCATTAATGTTACACGACAGTCCGATGAAAAGTCGCAGTCTAATGGGAGCGCAGACAGAATCGGGGAGTAATAGGGAAGAAATAATAGTCAAGTGAGCTAGGATAATTGTGAGGACGCGAGTGATCAATCAACTGACGTGTGGATTTCATGGAATCGAGTGAATCCGTGACGCGTTAGTGTTTTGTGGATGAGAGAGTCCAGTGCAACTGTGTGTCAAAACTCCACGGAAGTCCCTTCGAAAGACTGAAAAAATCCAGTGGTGTAATTGCAATCATGGCTCGGCAGGGCAAGCACTCGGAGCTAAATGAATTAATGCCGGAGTGAGAATCGTAAATAAAACAGGAGAACTATCGCCATTTATCACTGGCGAGGACAATTCGTGTCGTCTCTCGGGAGAATTCATTCAGCTTCATTTTTTCCCTTCGTTTTTCGTTATTCATCATTTTGCTGATTTGCCAAGCTGAAGAGGTGGGCCCCGTACAGTTTCTGCTCATCTGATTCTCGTTACGCCACTAGTTATGGTGTCCAAGGTGGATGCGAATAACATGGACACCACGAGACTCAATCGGGGTGCTAATGCGAGGGACATTATGGGGGATAAATCAACACCGAGTGGATGTAATGAGAGTGATTTTGAATTCGGAATACCACCTGAGGCGCCTGTTTTCGAACCCACACCTGAAGAATTTTTGGATCCACTCGGATATATCGCTAAAATACGTCCGATTGCTGAGAAATCTGGCATATGCAAGATCAAACCTCCACCCGTAAGTGCCATGTTACCATTGTCCTTCTACTGTTTCAGGCGTGATGATTTTGACGTCTTTTCGCTCGTTTTGATTGAATTATTGAATGACAGAAATTACTGAATTAAGGTTTTTTAATTTATGAAATGCAAATGTGGGATTAAAAACGTGAGGGAGGATGGGGGGAAATTGCAGGAGTGAGGCGTCGCGGTGGTACGTGACAATAGAAAGCAAAGTGGGGGGTAAGGGACTGAGGTAGCATTTATGAAGTAAAGGTGGCTGATCGGACAAAGGGAGAAAATTTTTCCCATTGCGTCATTATTTAGTTACAAGCGAAAATGTTTGTTTTAACTCGATATCTCCAGGGTCTAAACGCTTTAAAAGGGATCATAGCAATTTTCGTGAAACGGTACTGCTGCTTTATGGCGCACGAACCGTTCGAATTTTCACGATAAAATGGCCGAGACAAATTGAACAATGTCAGGGGGGAGGATAAGATCATCCGATCGTCCCTTTTTCCACGATTACGATGATAATGCGGACAAAGTTCTCGGGAGAGTCATTTCATGTTGAGTTTAGAGTGGCGAATAATCGTGGGGATAGTTTCCGAAAATTTTGAGAATTGAAGCGCAATAGGAATGTATGGATTTTTTCATTCCCTTTTCAGAACTGGCAACCACCATTTGCCGTTGATGTTGACAAATTCAAATTCACACCGAGGATACAGAGATTGAATGAGCTGGAGGCGAAAACCAGAATAAAACTCAATTTTTTAGATCAAATTGCTAAATTCTGGGAGCTGCAGGGCTCGTCACTGAAGATACCACTGGTTGAGAGAAAGGCTCTTGATCTTTACTCGTTACACAAAATTGTGACTGACGAAGGTGATTAATATATTCAGATTTTCATGTCAAACGATCATTGAGAGGGCACAAGCTAATGAAGCTGAAACTAGTGCAATAATCATTAACGGAAAATTCTATTTTGGGGATTTCTAAGGGTGCAAGGGGCCCACACGCATATGTGCAAATGTTTTTCAAGTGCAAACGAGTATGTAGATGACTCTCAAATCTTTGCGTCCCCCTAAATTCGCCAAAATCGAATTTTCCGCTGGCGAATCTTTCGCTAGTTTCAGCTTCAAGTATTCATGTGAAATATTCGCAACCGGAAAATTCAATTTAGAGGATTTTTAAGGGTGAAAGGGTCAAACAATCATATAGGCGAATATCTTTCAAGTGCTAATAAATTTGTACATGACTTAAGAATATTTCCTTCCCCCTAGATCTCCTTAAATCGAATATTCCCCTGGCGAATCCTTTGCTGTTTTCAGTTTCATCAAAACATGAAACTGGAACTAGAGGAATATTCACCACCGGAAAATTCAATTTAGAGAATTTTTAAGGATGAAAGGGTCAAACAATCATATAGGCGAATATCTTTCAAGTGCTAATGAATTTGTACATGACTTAAAAATATTTGCCTCCACCTAGATCTCCCTAAATCGAATATTCCCCTGGCGAATCCTTTGCTGTTTTCAGTTTCATCAAAACATGAAATTGGAACTAGAGGAATATTCACCACCGGAAAATTCAATTTAGAGGATTTTTAAGGATGCAAGGATCACACAATCACATATGCAAATGTCTTTCAAGTGCAAACAAATTTGCACACGACAAAACTACTTGCACACCCCTAGAATCGCCGAAATCGAATTTTCCACAGGCGAATCTTCCGCCATTCTCAGCACCATAAAAACCTATTACTAACCAGTCTACAATTTTGTTCACCAAGGTGGTATTGAAACCGTCACGAGGGAGCGAAGATGGGCGAAGATTGCGAACAAGTTGGGGTACCCATCAGGCAGAAGTGTGGGGAGCATTCTGAAGAACCACTACGAAAGGATCCTCTACCCCTTCGACGTCTTCAAGCAAGGGAAAACCCTGGGGGACATAAAGATCGAGCCCGAGACAGAAGTCCACGAGAAGAAGGATCGCGACTACAAGCCCCACGGTATCATCTCCCGACAGCAGATAAAACCACCCCCTGCCAAATTCTCAAGAAGATCAAAGCGCTTCACCGGCCAAGACGACAAGCAGGATGTCTCCATAAAACAAGAGGATTGCAAAGAGGAGTGTGACTCGGATAATGAATGCAAAGATGATCTGGATGCCGACAGTAAGGAGCTTAAGAAACTCCAGTTCTACGGGGCTGGTCCGAAGATGGCTGGTTTCACCAAAGAAAATAAAAAATCTAACAAAACTCGTGGTGTCAAGCAGAACTACGACTTCGATCCTCTGGCAAAGTACATCTGTCACAATTGCGGACGAGGGGACATGGAGGAGAGTATGCTGCTCTGCGATGGCTGTGACGACAGTTACCACACATTTTGCCTGCTTCCACCGTTGACGGAGATTCCAAAGGGCGACTGGAGATGTCCAAAATGCGTGGCTGAAGAGGTGTCAAAACCCATGGAGGCCTTTGGCTTCGAACAGGCCCAGAGGGAATACACACTCCAGCAATTTGGGGAGATGGCTGATCAGTTCAAGAGCGATTACTTCAATATGCCTGTGCACATGGTGCCAACATCACTCGTTGAGAAGGAATTCTGGAGAATTGTGTCCTCCATCGATGAGGATGTCACTGTCGAGTATGGAGCTGATCTACACACGATGGATCATGGCTCAGGATTTCCAACGAAAACCAGTGTCAATTTGTTTACCTGCGATCAGGAGTACGCAGAGTCCGCCTGGAACCTCAATAATCTTCCTGTTCTGCAGGGAAGTGTTCTGGGGCACATCAATGCTGATATAAGTGGCATGAAAGTTCCCTGGATGTATGTGGGCATGTGCTTCGCTACATTCTGCTGGCACAATGAGGATCACTGGAGTTATTCGATTAATTATCTGCACTGGGGCGAACCGAAAACCTGGTATGGGGTACCTGGCTCTCAAGCTGAACGGTTTGAGCATTCCATGAAATCAGCTGCACCTGAGCTATTCCACAGCCAACCTGATTTACTTCATCAACTTGTGACTATTATGAATCCTACGATTTTGACTAATGCTGGTAAATGAAGAGATTTTTGAGTATTCAGGGGCGAAATAATTTTATAGGGAAACGCAGTGAATTCGATGGAAAATTCTGGTGTATTTCTAGGGAACTTCTGTTGACCATTCTGTCAGATCTATACAAGGATTCCACTGTCTTGCTGTTTCTTTTATAGAAAATGCTCAATAGAAACTATTTTATAGAAAAAATCAGTAAAATTTCATCTTTCTATACAACTTTTTCTATTGAGATATTTCCTTTAGAAATTCCTCGGCATTAATTTTCTGTTTTTTTTTTCACTGTTCTTCTTTTGCTCTCGTTACAAATGTCTAACAAAAAAGCTTGAAAAATTTGAGCTGAGGAATGTCTATAGAAAGTATTTCAGTAGATTAAACTCAATAGAAATGCAATAAAATTTTCTAGCGAATCCGCTGGGTTTTCTGTGAAATTTTCACGCACGCGTTGACGAGTTTTGTTTTCTTCATTATGGAAATTGAATGACATTTTTTGCTCTTTCAGCTGTACCAGTCTTCAGAACAGACCAGCATGCTGGTGAATTTGTTGTGACTTTCCCACGTGCTTATCACGCGGGGTTCAATCAGGGTTACAACTTTGCTGAAGCTGTTAATTTTGCACCTGCTGATTGGGTAATTATCCCTTTGTTACATGAATTATATTCATATTATCATTATTTCGAAACTACCGTAATGTTTTGATGGATTTTTAGAATAATTAATTAATTGGGAAAGCAGGAGTATTTATTTCCGTGCGAAATGAAGAATTTTTTGTTGATTCTTGAGTAAATGCAAACGTTTATCTTTATTTACTTCAGGGCTTGTTTTAATTAATCTCTTTCTTGAGAACAACATGATTTTGCAATTTCAAATATTCTTATATACAAAAGTAACAAGTTCTGTAATGACCGAGTGATAAACAAAAAATCTTGTTTGTTTATTCGATTAATTAATCAACCTGATTCCACCACGTATAAAAAAATTTAATAGAAAAAGCTCGAATGCTTTGACTAAGAAATTCTATAAAATTTCTATTGAAACTTCCATTCTATTAGAATTCTGTTGCAAAAGCCTATTTGTCTTTCTTTCATAGCAAAAACTCCATAGATTTCAAATAAATAAAAATCTAGCGGAAAAAATTATAAAATTTATGCCCAGCAAATTCCGTAGTGAAATATAAAAAAATTGACATTTTCATATGAAATACCTCTTTATAAAATAACAAAGTTTCCAATCTTGGATAGAATTGGCCCAAAAACCTAATAGAATTATTTAGTAAAATTTTAATGAACCAGCAATAAAATCTTTATCGACTTCCAATAGAAATTCCCCAAAGATTCATTAAAATATTCATAAAAACCTTCAACAATCAAAAGGTCTTATTCAAAATCAATTTTTTTTTTCAAAATATTTCCAGTTGAAAGTTGGCAGAGAGTGTATCGCCCATTACTCAAATCTCCGCCGTTTCTGTGTATTCTCCCACGACGAATTGGTCTGCAAAATGTCTCTGGATCCCGATTCCCTAGACATTGGTATAGCAACAGCAACATATCAAGATATGCTGCAAATGGTGGAGGATGAGAAAAAATTGAGGAAAAATCTGCTCGAGTGGGTAAGTAGGAATTGACAACAGACGATAATAACAATAATCCACAGCCAAGAGTTAGGCCGAATGTGTTATATTGTTGTTTATATGTGTCGAGTAGGGGTTAACACATGTACACACAAGTGTGAAGTTAGCTGATAGCTAATCCCTCCCTCCTCTCACCGCACAGAGACTGCTGTGGCCACTGACCATCGTTTCATTCTGTTCAACGATAAATTTAACATAACAGTGATAATACACAGATATACTGAATAATCGAGAAAGCATATTGAGCATATTGCCAGTCCATTGAACGTATCCACCGACTCTATCTCGATCTTGTCCACGTTACAAGTCCCTTAGTAGTTGTCCCCCTCCATAAAATGTCTGCGCACATTAAATCGTCGTCAACCGGTCGCCACTAAGCGCGCAATTTCCGTCTAGATTATTTTTAATTCCTCAAATTTTTGGATTTTCTGTTCCCACTCGTTGAACACAGCCCGGCATATCTCCGACACTCTTTATTAGTTTATCGGGCAAGACTGAGGGAGTTGGTTACAGTTTTTGAATGAAACTGTGTTTTGCTGATTATGTAACCAACAATACACAATATAAAATTGAAAAGTCAAGAGAGTGCTGCAACGGTATTCAGCAGTTGGTGAGTTTTTATATTTTGAGGTTATGTATCCAAACGCTGGCAATCCGTTGAACATTCGGGGGATTGATATTCTTATTTTTTGAGGAATATGCGGATTGCGAAGGGCAGTTGTCGATCTGTCGAGCCATTTTGGTTAATTCGTCTTGATTTCTATTTTTTGGGGAATAATATGGCCTCTGTTGCTCGCACGATGTTGACGTTCTGATTTTTCGGGGGGCGACAATAAATTTCTCTTGTCATTGAATCCAATAAAATTGCCAATTTTGGGATGTTGGCTTATGGATTAATCGCTGAAAACTAGTGTGATTTTTTTATATTCAGTATCGAAGGATGAGATTTCTTAGTTATTCATGGAATATTGAGGATTTACGAATGAACATCCAATGGTGGACATTCCAGATTCGTCACAAGTATATTGAAGTGTTTGAAAGGGTAACTGGGATGTTGGCTTATGGATTAAGCTCTGAAAATCAATGCGATTGTTTATATTCGGCATTGAAGGATATCTCCTGATTCCACTTGCGGTGTGTGTAGATAGACTGAGACATGTATTAAAGATTAAAACAAATTATTTAGATGTAAAATGTACGGAGGAGGATTGACAAGAGTTTTGTACCGAAAGAATTTAACACTCAGATATTATTAAAAACAAAATATACATCATATCTACTTTGCCTTCCTCAAGTACTGTCTCATCCGACAATTCATATGTTGCAAGAGTTGACCGAATTATGTGTCATTCAATGGTTTCATTTTCTTTTTTTTATTAAACATGAACTTGTGTGCTTATTCCAACATGAAGTCCTTTATTATGGCTTTCCTAATACAGAATGAGAGNTTAAAACAAATTATTTAGATGTAAAATGTACGGAGGAGGATTGACAAGAGTTTTGTACCGAAAGAATTTAACACTCAGATATTATTAAAAACAAAATATACATCATATCTACTTTGCCTTCCTCAAGTACTGTCTCATCCGACAATTCATATGTTGCAAGAGTTGACCGAATTATGTGTCATTCAATGGTTTCATTTTCTTTTTTTTATTAAACATGAACTTGTGTGCTTATTCCAACATGAAGTCCTTTATTATGGCTTTCCTAATACAGAATGAGAGAAAATGGAAATAGATCTTTGCAAATATGCAGTTTAACATTCACCACTTCAATATGTGCTGCACACTCATGTATTTTATTTATTTATTAGTGATAATATTATTCATACGATTATGATCTTTCGAGCAACAGGGCTATATATTTTCGCGTATTGTATAAAAATGACAAGTATGTGGAAGTAGAAAAGGATTGGGATGAGGCGATCAAATAATTCGTTTGAAAACGAAAAGTTTGTACAATGATACACTATTTATCAATAATAATGTCCTGTAATTTCGAAGTGAAGTCGTCGGGAATATCGATAAAATGGACTCTGCGAAATCATGAATATATTGAATATAGAGAACCAGAGGAGTTCATTTCACGCGACAATAGCAGATTACTTGTGTATTTTTAGATTTTACAGTTACATTGTCAGCCTCATTCCTTACTCATTTCCCCAGAATGTGAATAGTTATGGCATATCCCAAGGGATTGACTATTTGTTTGATTAAATAAATGTTCAATCTATGTTCAGGGTGTCACTGAGGCTGAGAGGGAAGCATTCGAGTTACTACCAGACGATGAGAGACAGTGTGAGGCATGTAAAACGACATGCTTCCTCAGTGCTGTGACCTGCTCGTGTCACAGTTCTCAGTTGGTATGTCTAAGACATTTCACTGATCTCTGTTCTTGCCCACCGGAAAAGCACACCCTCCGTTATCGCTACACCTTGGACGAATTGCCCATAATGCTGCAAAAATTGAAACTCAAAGCCGAGTCCTTCGACTCGTGGGTGACAAAAGTCAAAGAGGCCATGGATCCCAAGGGTGAAAAAATTGAGTTGAGTGAGCTGAAGGAGCTGTTGAGCGAGGCTGAGAGCAAGAAGTTCCCAGAGAGTGAATTACTAACTGCATTGACAACTGCTGTGCAGGATGCTGAGAAGTGTGCAAGTGTTGCACAACAATTGTTGAATAATAAACAACGAACGAGAACGAGACAGTCAGTTGATACCAAATACAAGTTGACTGTCGAGGAGTTGACGTTGTTTTACAAGGAGATAACGAATTTGTGTTGCGAGTTGAAGGAATCGGATGGAGTTAAGTATATTCTGGATCAAGTTGTGCAGTTTCAGAAGGACGCTGAGGACTTGGAGTCAAAGTTTGATGACTGTAATGTCGAGAAGTTGGAGAAATGCATCGACTTTGGTGATTCAATTTGCATTGAACTGCCACCGCTGGTGAGGCTCAAGCAGAAGTTGAGCCAGATACAGTGGCTGGATGAAGTTAAATCCATGCTGGACGATTCCAAGTCTGTGACACGTGAGGATCTTGCCAGATTGATCGAAACAGGCATGACAATTCCCCCTCATTTCAGCATTGAAACGATGCTGTCTAAACTGCAACAACTTGTCATCAATATTGACAAGTGGGAGGAGAAAGCTAAGGGGTATCTTCAGTCCAAGAGTCGTCAGAATATCGTCATGATCGAGGAGTTTATACAGGAGGCTGACGACATTGACGCGTACTTACCGAGTCTCGACAACTTACAGGATATACTGACTAAAACGAAGAATTGGACGAAGACTGTGGAAGAGGTCCAGGCAAGGGAGAATTTCCCATACTACGACACTCTTGAGGAGCTCGTCAAGAAGGGGAGGAACATCCCTCTGCATCTTGACGCCCTTCCAGTGCTGGAGTCCACCCTGTCGCAGGCTAAAGTCTGGAAAGAGAGGACAGCAAGGACTTTCCTGAGAAAGAACTCTCACTACACTCTGATGGAGGCCCTCTCACCGAGAATTGGTGTTGGAGTTCAAGCACTCAAGACCAAGAAGAACAAGGGTGACGAGGCCATTGGTGCGGTATTCGTTTGTGACACGAAATTGGACGACTCCAGTGACTCAGCCAATGTTGTTGCTGCTTTCAAACTTGCTGAGCAACGAGAGATGGAGGCAATGCGCAATCTGAGGGAGAGAAATATATCCAAGGCTGGATACGATGACTCCAGGTACTGCGTTTGCAGACGACCAAGATTCGGTTTGATGCTGCAGTGTGAACTCTGCAAGGACTGGTTTCACTCCAACTGTGTGCCACTACCAAAAACAATGTACAAAGGAAAAGTGGCATCAGCCAGAGAAACTAAATTCCTGTGTCCCTGCTGTTTGAGATCTCGAAGGCCACGATTGGAAACTATTCTTGCACTTCTAGTTAGTTTACAAAAAATTCCAATTCGTTTGCCGGAGGGAGAAGCACTTCAGTGCCTGACGGAGAGGGCTATGAATTGGCAGGATCGAGCTAGGCAGGCACTCGCCACTGAAGAAATATCCTCAGTTCTTGCTAAACTGTCGGTTCTCTCACAGAAGCTCGTTGAAGCTGCTGCACGTGAGAAAACTGAGAAAATTATTAGTAGCGAATTGAAGAAAGCAGCTAATAATCCAGAGTTGCATCAACGTGTACAGGCTATTGCACCACTCAGTGGTGTGCATTCAGACGATAGTGTGCTCAGCACTGCTGATGATGATGATGACGTTGTTACCATTGATGGGGATGAGCCATCGTGCAGTACATTCAATAGCAGTGAGCATGCCTACTCTTATGTCTCAAAGTTCCAACGAAAATTGCAACTACCACAGAATCCAGAAAACTCGGTGGTTCTTTCGGAGAGTGCAAGGTCTAAGTTGGACGAACTCATGATGGAGGGCGATCTTCTTGAGGTTGCTCTTGATGAAACACAACACATTTGGCGCATTCTCAGTCACACCAACAGTCCCAGCAGTGTACGAAAGTACGCTGCTTTCGAGGAGGTCCAAGCCAATTTCAATAATGATTCCAAAGATCCTAAGAAACGGGGGAGGAAGAGGAAGTCGGAGGAGTTTGAGTTACTCAAGAAGATGGGGAGGCAGAAGCCTGTTGATGAGAAGACCATTGTTAAGAAGAAGGCTTTTAATAATAAGGATGCTAAGAAAATGGTTACGCCTCCAGGAGCTCTCAAACGAGGCCCAAGAAAGGTATTGATCACTGGTTTTTTTTATTTTACTGGGAGACAAAATATGTGTTAGATCGAGTATATTATTAACATGGACTTCCAAGTTTCTTTAATTTTTTAAATCTTCGTCACATGCATCAAGAGAACATTTGTGACAAGAGTTATTTAGATTCTAGGAATCTTCTTTTTTTGCTGTGTATCAGTACAAATACGAAACAATTTGATAGAAAAATCGAACGCATTTACGGGGAAATTGTGTTAAAAAAAAATTTAGTGAAAAAAAAACAAATTTCTGTCAAGAACTTTTGATGGAAAATATCCTAATAGACTAATTTGTAAAAAAACACGTGTTGATTTTCATCTATCAAATGTCTTCGTTGATGTACTTTGCCACTCCAACTGCCCTTCAAATTTTCCTCAATATTATTCCTAGATCAAACGAAAAGAGGGTGAGGAACTACCAAAAAAGAGAGGTGGCAATAGGAAAAAGACTAAACAAGACACCTCTGATGAAGAAGATGATTGTGCAGCTGGAAATTGTTTACGACCAAGTGGTGCGTTGAATTATCCCTAACATATTTTCTCAAACAAGTCCTGTTTGAACTCAAAAATTGCAAGTTGACAATTACCAAAATAAATGCAATCTGGTGCTGACCACTTGAAAACTATTTTGAGATAAAAAATGTTTGTCGCAAATATTTCTTGATAAACTTTTTTGTGTAAGAGATATTTTCATCCTATTTCGATATTGTTGAAAGCAGAGCCATTCAACAATTAATTGATTATTCGTATTTGAGACCTTGGAATTGGAATCAAACAAGACTTGTATGAGAACTTGTTTTTCTCTTCTTTTCTTTTAAATGTTTCATTGACAATTGATTTTTTACTGGTCTTTTTAAGGTCGTGAAGTCGACTGGGTACAATGTGACGGTGGATGCGACGGCTGGTTTCACATGCACTGTGTAGGTCTCGATCGCACTGAACTCACCGAAGAGGACGACTACATCTGTAGCAATTGCAAAGATGCCGAGCAGAGTGCAACGGTACGAAAAGTCAGATAACTTTTGATCTTTTCGTTTGACATTGACGTTTCGTTATCTTTATTATTATCCTCATCACGGATGGCATCATTATTATTTTTTTTAAATTTACTTTTCGTTTCGACTCGCATGTGCATCTTTACACTTGTTCCTCATTCATCGATTAAGTAGTTTTTCACTGTAGGTAAATTCAGTTGTTTTTACGTTGATCACAAGTTTTCTTTTGTTCCATTACATATATTTTGCGTAATGACTTGGTCTAAATGGCTGGAAATTCTTAAGATTATTTCGCGATTAGCTTTTCACTATTTCTTAACAAGAGTTCAACATGGCTTTACGAATGATTAGAGTTGTATAGATGATAAACATATGAAGGATATGTACAAATATTGAGTTATCAGAATAACTGGTGAAAAATTTTACACACAGTGGCTTATTGATAATTTTAATTTATTACGTATTTGCACTTAAAAAAAATCGTGTAGTCCAGTTTATGAGCTCATTAAGTGTATTGTGAAACATTAAGCAGCAAACATCTGTCTATCTATCAGCACATAATTTATAGTAAGAGAGACCAAAAAATCAGTAATAAAATTTAACTGAGAGCTTGAAAACTCGCCTACTCGAAAATTTCTTACTACACCATTAGAATAGTGCTTGTGTCGGTTACAGCTGACATTATTCTGAGCACTAGATGCACTTGTTTGAATTTTTCACTCCCAGGGATATCTCAGTGGGGACAATGAGCCGGATATCCAGGAGGCGTCGTCCTTCGCTAGGACCTACTAGCCTGTTCGCATCTCCATTTAGGCTCAGCACAATTTATTCATGAAATATTGAGGATTTACGAATGAACATCCAATTGTCGATATCCCAGATTCATCACAAGTACATTGAGGGGTTTGAAAGGGTTACTGGGATGTTGGCTTATGGAGTAAGCTCTGAAAATCAATGCGATTGTTTATATTCGGTATTGAAGGATATCTCCTGATTCCACTTGCGGTGTGTGTAGATAGACTGAGACATGTATTAAAGAGTAAAACAAATTATTTAGATGTAAAATGTATGGAGGAGGATTGACAAGAGTTTTGTAACGAAAGAATTTTACACTCAGATATTATTAAAAACAAAATATATATCATATCTACTTTGCCTTCCTCAAGTACTGTCTTATCCGAGAATTCATATGTTGCAAGAGTTGACCGAATTATGTGTCATGCAATGGTTTCATTTTCTTTTTTTTTATTAAACATGAACTTGTGTGCTTATTCCAACATGAAGTTCTTTATTGTGGCTTTCCTAATACAGCATCAGCATCAAACATTGGGCATATGAATGAAAGAAAATGGAAATAGATCTTTGTAAATATGCAGTTTAACATTCACCACTTCAATATGTGTTGCACACTCATGTATTTTATTTATTTATTAGTGATAATATTATTCATATGATTATGATCTTTTGAACAACAGGGCTATATATTTTTGCGTATTGTATAGAAATGACAAGTATATGGAAGTAGAAAAGGATTGGGATGAGGCGATTAAATGATACGTTTGAAAACAAAAAGTTTGTACAATGATACACTGTTTATCAACAATAATGTCCTGTAATTTCTAAGTGAAGAGTAATGTTCAATATTGAGGAGGAAAGATTGATTGTCATCGGGAATATCGATAAATAAAGTACGTAATTTTTGGCGTCGAACATTTACTACACAGTGTGTTTTAAATACAAGCATACCCATTGTACTAAAACAGGCTGTGACAAAACATGATTATATTAAATATAGAGAACCGAAGGATTTCATTTCACGGAACAGTAGCAGATTATTTGAATATTTTCAGATCTTAGAGTTGTAATAGCTTCCTTATTTCCTGTTTATTTTCCTGGAACGTGATTTTCTACGAGTGTACGCATTCCAGCAACAGTGGGAGAATCACGAGAATCGATTTTCATCTGGGAATAATAGTTGTGATTCTACTTTTCGAAAGGCCACTGAATAATGGTGAGTAGAAAGATGGAAATATACATAACGTAAGGCCATTGCATGCATGAAATATCCAATAGGAGAGAAATCCTCGCTTTTCCGAGGAAATTCTATTGGGATTCTCTTGAATTCTATTATTTTAATCTATTGGAATTCTGTTATTTATTTGTTGATTTCTATGAGGAATAATTTTTTTCGTGACATTTTTCTAGATATAGGGGAGGGTAAAAAATTCTGACAGGAAAAAATTGATAGAGTTTTCTCTACACTCGATTGTTGATATTTTTTCTGTAGTAATTTTTTATCATGAGTGCCTTCCTTCAAAATTGCAATGCAAAAAAAAGTATACAGTGAAAACAGACGAATGTGAACAGAAAAATCGAAATGAATTGAACTTTTTCTATCTCATATTCTCTGTGAATATTATACATGAGATCTCAAAAGAATTTTAATCATTATTCAGCGAATGCGCTGGGATTTTCACTGTGAAGTAAACTTAATTGATAAACCAGGAGAATTCCTCGAAACACATCTTTCAATTTCCCATTGGAATTCATTCAAATACCCACGGAAAATTATAGCGATAGTCTGCACGATACTTTATGTACCCAGAATAATGGAATTCAAATTCAATTCTTGAATAACTAAGCCACTACATCGTAAGGAAGCACTGGATTTTATTCCCAATGACTCACTCAGTTCCGCAGTCTTTCTTCTCCATCAATCTAACTCGAGGTTTCATAAAAAATGAATCACCTCTCTCGGTCTATCGATTTTCACGAGAATCAATGACAGATGCTATCTCCCAATGAAAATCAATTATTTTCCGTTCACTTGACGAGAAAATCGCACCGGGAAATGGCATTAACGGGAACTGACAGTTAACGAGACTGAAAATCAGCAATAAAAAAATGTTACTTTTATTTCTTAATTGTGAGAAATCAGTGCGCTGACAAGTTATTGAAAAGGAGTTCGCGCGATAGGCAAATCAATGTCCAGGTCGAGGGTGACTCATCGAATTCCATTATATCAACGGGAATGAACAGTAATGGATTTTTTTTTACTCTGTGTATATCGCGTGTGTCATATCAAGAATGAGTCACGCCGAAATGCAGAAAATTCGGATCTCGCTTCACTCTTCATTCATCTATCATTCATCGCAAGTTTTTGTTATTCTGATTCAAAAGGTAAGTGAAATGCAGTAATTTTATGATTTTATGTTGCGATTTACGATGTTTTTTATTTTTACGAATGGTAATAGTGAATTCAGTGATGGAAAGTCGGGAGACTATAAATAATAATAATTTCGGCACTTTAAGGATGTAAACTTTTGTGAACTTCCGAAAAGTTTTAGAAAAAACGCAGGAAAATGATTGCACGATCATGAAATTTCGGGAGTCATTAAGTAATGATGAAACGCAAAAACGTTTTTATTTCACGTCAATCCGCTCAACAATTTGCCAGAAAAATGTTAAAAACCGTGAATTTTGGTGGAAATACAGCGTAAAACATCCTTAATAACAGAATAACGTGAGTGCCAAAGAATTGTATCGCACTAAAATTTAATATTTGATGTTTCTATAGATATTTTCTGAGTGTTCTTCACAATTTGACAAACAATTAACATTATCTCTTCCAATATCTCATCATTCCATCCAATCAAAGTTTCAAATTATTTGACAATTCTTAGTGATAAGTGAGTTTTTAATTAATGCAGTGAATCACTCGGATTCTCCAGAGGATGACGAATCCGATAAACAAAAAACAATCAAAGCTATCAGAATACTCATTGCTTTAATCATATGTAAAATCAATTATTTCAAATTGGAACGATGATTGAACGTTGATATGCGGATGACACACCCACAGAATTTACGCATTTGAATAAATTGGAACTTAATTTAATCCGACTAAAGAATTATTAGATATTAATAAACTCGTTACTTGCGCCGCTTAAATGACAATTTCATTTGTGCCTAATAAAGGCTGTTTTGATCGGAGAAACATTTGGTCATATTGGAAATACGATTTATGTGATCTCAATAGAAATGCAAGTGATAATCAAGTTCAATAAAAGTTTGAATAAAAGCTTTATTGAGAGTCTCTCATGTGCGACAAAAATGCGAGAAAAACCTAGCGCATACGTTAGGAAGTTCTATTGGAACTCTTCTGAACTTCGTGCGGATTTCCGCGCTTTTCTTTCAATAGAAATATTGAAAACAACGCAGTTCACAGAAAAAATTAATGAGATTTCCAGTGAATGCGCGAGATCCGCGGCAAAACCCAGCGAATTCGATAAAAAAAATTCTATTGAACTTCCATTGAAGATTCTATTAGTTTTTGATCAATTGCATTGAGGAATTCCGCAGCGTTACCACGCGTTTTTTCTAGGAAATGTCGAATGGAAAACTTTCACTGGAAAAATCAGATTTTCGCCCTTCTATACAACTTTTTCTATTGAGACATTTTCTACGAAAATTCTTCGGCATGAATTTTTCAATATTTTCAATCAATTTTTCTCCTCTTTCAACTACAAAAATTGAACAAATAACTTGGAAAATTTAAGGCGAGGATTTCTATTGACAATAGTGATGTCTTAATGGACTAAGTTCTATAGAAAAATCGAATTCTATTGATTTTTTCTGTAGAATACTTTCCATTGAAGACTTTTATTAAAAATAAAATTAGAAGCAATGCTTCATTCGGAAACAAAAAAAAGCGCCAATAAACATTGTGCCTAACTAAAAGAAAATAGGGGAGGTTGGGGTAAAACGGACACTTTTGACTTTATTTAAATATTAATGAGGGGTTGAAATGTTGATAAAATTTAATAGATTTTTTTTCAATACAAAGAACAATTCTTTCCCTTTGTGATGAGCCTAAACTGAGCTCAATTGATCATTTTGTTTCTGAGTTATGACCAATTAAAAAAAATTCTCGTGTCCATTTTACCCCACCCTCCCCTAAATAAATAAATAAATAAGTGAATGAATAATAAATAAAGGAAATACCTAAATAAAAATAAAAAAAGTTTCGTGACTTTTCAACCGAATCAGCCCAAAACTTTTACAAAATTCACCAGAAATCCAATTGAATTTTCATCTTTTCATACGCGCATTCATTCGATCAAAAAAAATAACGTTTATTCCTCTCAAACAAACAATTCTCCAAGTTCCGGGCTTGCATTTGAGGCTTCATTTAATTTTGCGTCTTCACTTCACTCAATTTGCAAGAAAACTGTGCATTAAAAAACCCCACTTTTTGAACGCACAGTGTACCAGGTGCGGACAACATTTCAGATATGCACGTATACTGGAAATCCGAGGCTCCCCGATCACAGCGATTGTCGCCGATGTTGGGTGGTGGGGTCACATGCTCTCCCCACATCACATCGAGCTTCGGAGTTGGCTCTTCACGGTTCAGGCTTCCAGGCTTCCGTAGAACGCGTCGACTCTGGCGGTCCCAGTGAGCTCCCAGCGTCTGGCCAATGAAAGCAACTTGCCTTCATCGTCCCAAATTGCGTACATTGTGTACAATAAACATTGTCAACCCGATCTGAAGTCCCACACCAGCTTCGCTGTGAGCAAGGTGTGTCGAGTGTTGTTCGACGTGTTTCAAATTGTGTGATTGATTAGAGTGGTTCAAGGCGGGTTGTGTGCGGCGCGCCTGACACAACAGGGACAGACGAATTGTGGGAGTGAGATAGAGGTGTGTAAAAGGATTTGGACAACATGGCCACCACCATCGACGATCGGCAGGAGCTTTTGGAGCAGTTCCAAACGGTTAATATCATTTTACATTACATTGTTGTGATTATTTCCTCATTGGGGTTGACGAGCGGTTGCAATGCAGGCGTGCGATTAACGCGCAACGGCGGACTACTCTCTGTATCGATCGAACTGTTATCACATGCCCTGTTGCAATAGCGAGTTTATTTTATCGTTGTATTGTGCATGTTATTGCCGGCTGTTATTCAATGAATGCCAAATTTTTCACTGTCTTTCTAATTTGCTAATTCATCGATCGTTAGAATTGAGTTTATTCAAATCAATCGGCCCCGGTCATTAATTGGAGTTATCGACGATTACGATCTGTCAATAGGCCATGTTTATCCGCGATAATTGGGGTTTATTGAGTCGGTGGATGTGGGGAAATGAGGACTCAGGCATATTCGCGAGCCAGCTAATGCGGGTGGGGAAATGTCTTGGGGGAAAAGGCCGCTGCAGCATTGTCGGATCGAATGCGCACGCGTAAACACTGGGAGTTCGCTTGAAATGCGCTATTTCCCTTTGTTTATGAAATGGCAAAACGTATTCTGTTGATTCTCTTGATTTCCGTTTCTTATCTTGCACCACAGTTGATTAAAAAATCGTGACTGGTCTTCCGGGAAAGGGAGTTATCGAGGGAGCGATTGAATTCGAAGGATTACTTTCTCCATTTCCTTTTACTTTTCCCACCCTCGGTGGCTCCTGGAAACGTCTTTTCTGGCTTCCTGCAAATTCAATTGAGTTTAATCTGGCCTGACAATGTAGGTCTTAATGCTCTTGGAAATATTGGGATGGCTTTGGTGCATAACACGGCTGAAAATCCGTTAAGGGGAAACGGAACCCCTGCGTCTATATGAATTTTTTTAATTGTTTTCTCCTGCAGTTGTCACTTTATATCTACGACACTGGTTTATCGGGGCGATCATTGCATTGTTGAGTCACCGAAGTAGTTTCATAAATGAAAAATAATAATTGCAGTAGAAAACGCAATTCTAAAAACTCATAGAGACACGGAATTCATTCATTTTCAATTAATTAGATTCTGTCACGTTCGGGAAAAATTCAACAATTTTAACTTATTTTTTTAGTAAAATGAAAAATTGACTTTTTTATCAATTTTTGCAAATCAGGAACAAATTTACCAATTGCGCTCACTCTAAACTCATCTCAAAGAAGGAGAAATGTTTTTTATTTATTTAAAAAAAGCATTTGTTTCATAGGATAGTCATTGTTATTTAGTAGTCGCAGTTGATTAACAATTCATCAAGTTGTTAGCATTGAAAACAAATCAAAAGTGTCCATTTTGCTATAATCACCCCTGTGAAAGCTGTTGATGAAATCATAATTTTTGTTCGCAGAATTAATAAATTAATAAATTCCGCTCCGAGTTGCGAACATCGAGAGAAATGTCAAGTGTTAATTTTGCCGCACCCTCCCCTACTTGCAATAAAAATATGGGGCACTCGTGTAAATAATAAGGATATTTAAATGCATTCGGGGCGTATTACCCATTTTATTTCTGAATAACAAACTTGGATTAGGGGCTTCAACTAACGTTGTGGGTTCATCTTAATTAATTTGTGGAAGAACTATCTGTCAGTTGAAAGAAATCCACATTTTTTGAACGCGCAGTTGGGGATAAATATTCTTAATTTCAACCGTTGCTTCTCCGATAATTTACGTGCATGAAAGTTTATTTTTTCCTTCACTGAGAAAAACAATTATTTTTGCCAAATATTCATTTACTTGAGAGAAGTATTTATTTTTTCCAAATCGTATGTCTCCAATCGAGTCATTCCCAGGCGAGCCTGACTAAGTTTCAATTACAACAGTCATGTTGCTCTAGAGGATGACTATGTTGCACATGACCTTGGATGGACTCTTCTAATAATTATTCATATTTCCAAAATTTTTCATTTTCTACAGGGCAAAATTTCGATCAATTTTTTAATGTTGATAATTATTGAAGAAGTTCACTCAAGTTCACTCATAACTAACATGAGCATATTCTAGAGCAATATAATTGACATGATTGAAACCTAATGAGGATTGCCTGAGAATGACGCGAATGGAGAAATACGGTATTGAAAAAATAAATACTTCTCTCAAGTAAGTGGATATTTGGCAAAAATAATTTTTTTTCTCAGCGTTGACAGCACTCGGTAATTTAACCTGCGCCGTTTCACGTGAACTATTCGCTTTTTCGAGTTATTTTTTTCTGCATGCATGTGCCCCAGACCAAGGGGATGAGAGCTCTAAGTTATTGTGAATCGACGTAAGAGGCCCACCTCCCGTCGACGAATAAATATAGTATGACGCTCCCGTAGGTACTGTCAGTGGGGGACAACGCATCCCGGGACGTTGGGCTCGTAACCCAGGGCAACGTGCATACCACTTTGTCCATGGGTCTTGTAACGTCCATTTATAGTTTATCCGTTGACTCTCACGTAAAAAAATCTCCCCGGGAAGTGTTCAAATACGACGTGTCATTCTTGGATTCACGTGACGGTATCATTAGCATTAGAAATGTGAAACCCTGAAATTTAAAGTGGATAGTAGGTGGGACCTATCGCCGAGCTGTCAGCTTTATTCATTCCTCATTCGAAGCCTTATCAATGACTTGGAACTTGAAAGTTTAAGTAGAGCTGTGCCATTTGTAATGGAGACGGCGGAATAATGTATTGTAATGGCGGAGGAAAAGAAATTTTGCCTCTAAATAATACACTATAAAATACATTAAATGATTAAAAAGTAAATGATAATTCTCATTCATCGACACATGAATACAAAACATTGATACGCAAATATATATTGAAATATAATATGAATATATTAATTGAAATTTCATAGAAATATTGGAATAATATGAAATCCGATGGCATGAAACAATAATAATTAATGCAGTGTTCAATTCTCCACATAATATTTCACATAATATTTCTCGTAATATTAGAAACCTGAAAATTTTTTGAAAATTCTTGTTGAACCATCGAAAAAACGGTGAACAAACAATTATTTCGACTGTCAGCCATAATTTTTTCAAGAAAAATCTATTTTCAAGAATATATTTTCAAATTATAAAATTATAAATTAAAATTGTTTCGACGTGCAATGAATGACTGTAATGATAGTTAACATTGGAATTTCGGATTTGTAACACTACAAATAGAAACAAACATATGGGATTTGTCATTTTCCTCGAGGCATGTAATCATGAATCATCGGTTGACTCAATCCTCCGGAAGTTAAACCTGTCCACGTTAATTATGGACCATTCTTGTATGAATTTGGCTTTCAAATGTAGAAGTGTAACAGAAGAAAACGGGTAATCATAGAAAAAGGAATGTCGAAACTCATTCTCAGGTCCATGAAGGGACCTGATAGCAGCATTGTAACAATGCTCCTATATGGAAGTTCATTCTCACGTTCGTACGTTTCTGTTCCTCCAGAGTCCCACGCTGAACTTTGCATTACCCTCTGGCACTTTAATAATTGGTCTTCTTCTACGATTCATCCTTCTGAGCTCATGATTTCTTGCTATGGAAATTGAAGAACCGTAACAAATTTATTTGTCGTCTGGGACTTATGAGCAGTCGAGCTTATCCAGATGTATAAATTTTTCCGCGCTACTCTCAATCATTCTTTTTGTACAGAAATTAACATTGAAAAGGAACTTCTTGGCTTCGAGCCAATCTTTAGGACCAATGGGAATTGAAAGCCATAAAAATTCTGTAGATACAAAAAATTTTTTTGGGGTATTTCCCTTCTTTATCATTTTCAATGTAAAAACTTTCCCTTTTCTCAAGAATTTTGTCGTTTACAATTTCGTTTCAACAATTTTTCCTAAAGTTAGTATCTGAAAAACTCACGATGTAATTTTTTTCGTTCAGATTCATTCTTGTTCGATTTAGATCTTTTTTTCGACTAGACAATTGCAGAGAAATTAAAGTTGAGAAGGTGCTCCTCGGCTTCGGGGAAAAAACTTAAACTCCAGAGGAGAATAAAAATCATAATAAAATTGCAGAAAAAAATTTCAAGTATCGAAGACAAGAAAACACCATCTCAGCAGATAAATTTTTTATGGTACTTTCATTGTTAATAATTTTCGTCGTATAACTTTCCATTTTCTCCACTTGTGCAATGATGAGGGCTTTTTTCCCCATTGCAAAATTACTAGTATCACTCAACGAAGTCTTCAACAGTGAAGAATATGTGAAGCATGAGTGCTTCTATGGAAAACAATAAAATGGATAACTGTTTATCAGTGTGACGTAGCGGTTCCTCTCCGATAGCTGACATACCGAAATAATTCTTTACGAAGCATATCTAAGTATTACTCATCGTTTTTTGCCAATCCCGGTTATTTAAAAGACGGGAAAACGATTTCAATGTGCAATGAGAAGCACTACAATGTAGAATATGTAGTATAGAGTTTTTGCGATTGATGACACTCGTGTATGTACAGTGTATTCATTGGTGACTCATGTGTAGCGATGTCCATGGTTGCGGTGAATGTAGAAAAATCAACTCCAATAATAGTCGTTTTCATTGTGTAGAATCAGGGATATTATTTTTTCAATTATATATTCAGCAATTTTAATCAATTTTTCTGGGTACAATCTTTCATAAAGTTTTTTCAATTTTCCCTGGATCATCTTACAAACATATTGATACTTTCCTTCACTTCAAAGCTTTTCTGTATTTTTTTGAAACAAGATATAACTTACACGGAGAGAAATGTTCAACAAAAATTACGGAACTCACAGTTCCCTCACCGATTACGGAATCGACTCAGAAAATTTAAGTGACGGTATCGTAATTTTTCACAGGAGATTCAGGTAAAAATTACGGAACGCTCTGGAAAAATTCCGTGATTTTAGGTGAAAATTACGCGACGGTTCCGTAAAATTTCCTACAACCACATTTCGCTCTGGAATTACGGAAAAGATACGTAATTTTTATTGAATATTTCTCTCCGTGTAAAAGCAGAAAAACAAAAATAATACGCACGAGTAAATGTTGAAAAATCATCAATTCCAATAAGAGTCTTTCTCATTCTGCAAACAGGGATATTAATGAGGGAATGGGGTTGATTGCATTAATGAATTTATGGAGCAGTTTGATCTGTTGTATACGTCATAACCATTAGATCAAGTGCGTAATTTGAGAGCAATTGACCACACACGGTGTCGAATTGCAAGTTGAACTGCGGTCACGAATGATTCGACAAAGAAATATTCAACAATTTCAATCAACTCTTCTCGGTACAATCTTTCATAAAGTTTTTTCAATTTTCCCTGGATCATCTTACAAACACGTTGATACTTTCCTTCACCTCAAAGCTTTTCTGTTTTTTTTTTATCAAGATATAACTGAAAAGCAGAAAAATAAAGATAAAACGCACGAATAAACGTTGAAAAATCATCAGTTGCAATGAGAGCCTTTCTCATTCTGCAAAGTCAGGGATATTACTTATTGAATGGGGTTGATTGCATTAATGAATTTATGGAGTCGTTTGATCTACTATATGCATCATAAATATTGAATCGAGAGCGTAATTTGAGAGCTATTGACCACACACGGTGTCGAATTGCAAGTTGAACTGCGGTCACGAACGATTCGATGAAGAACTATTCAGCAATTTCAATACATTCGTTTGAATTTATAGGGAATTGTCTTCAACTCGGCTGCAATATGCAGTTTATTAGTATATTGCATTACTTATGCGTAAAATTGAAGAAAAAACGGACGAGTGAATGCATAAAACTCGTCAATTCCAGCAACAGTCTTTCTCATTCAGCGAATTTCGGAATATCATTCATTTCTCTGAGTTTGAGTGCATCAACGAATTTATGAAGCAGTTTGGGGTAGCACATACATCATAAAAATCAACTCGAGACCGCAAAGTAATAATTATTGACCACACTGTGTCGAATTCAGTAGCGAAGTGGTCAGACGGTTTAAGTCGATTTTGGCTATTGGCCACTTTTCAACGAATATCCCGAAATCTGAGGGAGATAGCAAAATTTTTCTTATGACCTTTTTAGTAGCATTCAATTCGCCCTTCAGAAAAGGTCATTATGAAAATTTCGCCATCTCCCTTAAATTCTGAAATATTTCTGGAAAACTCAACTAAAGACTAACTTGACTTAAACCGTTTGACCACTTTGCTACTGAATTGCAAGTTGAACTGCTGTCACGAATGATTCGGTGAAGAATTGCTCATCAATTTCAATAGATTTTTCTGGATTTGTAGGGAATCGTCCTATTGTCGACTTCGACATGTAACTTGAAAACAAAAAACTGCATCTGAAGCTCGTTGTACATATTTGCATTCGAATTCAAGGTTGACGATTGTCATCCCGCGACCTCGGCCCCAAGACAGTCCTTCTATCTTCTTCTACTCATTCCTCCTACGCATTACTCGATGCATGGAAAGCCTTGGCAGTTTTCTTTATGCCGAATGCAGATTATCGGATGCACGACCATGAGCCTTATTTTATTAATATCAGGCTAATGTCATTCTTCTGATGCGTCTGCGGCTTTGTGATAATGAATTTTCCATATTGACTCGCATGAAAATATCTCATTGGAAAACTTAACGAAGTTGATAGAAAATTCTGTTGGATTTCTATTGAACTTCTGTTGGAAATTCTATTAGTTTTTGGTCGATTCTGTTGAACAATTCCAGAGGTTTACTGCGCGTTTTTTTAGAAAATGTCCGATAGAAACTTCTGCAGAAAAAATCAGTAAAATTTCATCTTTCTATACAACTTCTCCTATTGAGACATTTTCTATAGGAATTTCTGGACATGAATTTTCTGTTTTTTCTACTCTTTTCGGTAATCAAACAAAAAATTTCAGAAAATTTGAGATGAATTGCAATGGAATAAGTTGAATAAAAATCCAGTTCTATTGAATTTTTCTATAGAATATTTTCTATTAATCATTTCTACTGAAAAAAACGCGCAGGTAACCTAATATAAAGTTCAATAAAAATCCAATAGAATTTTCTAGTGAATTCGTTTTTCTACGAAATTTTTTCGAAAATGAATGTGAGTTTTTGCATGAAATACGAAATTAAATGGACAATATCACGTACAAGTTCTTAATTTTTCTCGAATCACTTATTAATTTCTTATTATTTATGTAGATAACAAATATTTGTTGAATGTTTCATCCAATGATCTATCTAGCAATGAAGATAATTCATGCAAAACTCCAAATAGAAATGCAAAATCTATGATTGAGACTTGAGTTGAGGCGTTGTTCATCACAATTTATTCCTCAACTAAGAAATATTTCGATAGCTGTAAGTACAGTTTTGCGCCTTGGGAATAGTAACTGATCTGGAAAATATGTGGGCGTAAAACTGGGAACGATGCATTCCACGGGAGCCCTCGAGGAGAGCGTATCTGGAATGAAAGATTCAAAGCAATTCATTTCCTCATTTCCGTCTTCTCCCTCCGAATTCTAGCTGAAAGAACAAATCAAGTATCCAATAATAAAATTATAAATTGAATTAAGCTATCTGTCGATGGCTCGGATGATATATGTTGATTTTTTTATCTGATCGATGATTCGATAAGAATGATAAGTTACTCGATATCATAATATGTCTCAGTTTGTCTGACGTCCCATTCAGATGGTATTCGTTGATAAAGCCTTTGGGCCCAAAGTTTGAACATATTAGATGTATATTTGACGTTCTGGGACTTAATCCACGGGAAAGAATAAAAAATGGAGATTCTTGGCATGCAAAAGTGGGACGTTATCGAGGAATATTTGAAGGATTTCGACTACCTTTTCCACTTAGTGAGTAATCGCTTTTTCGTGATATCAATCTCGTCAGATACTAGCCGACGCCCTCAACTGATATTTTCCACTAGTTGTGAGACAATTTTTGTCGAACAATCAAGCGTATTTGCTGGAAAAATCCTCTCAAATAGAAATATTTAATGGAGGAAAATGAATGGATTTTCATTTTTCCATGCAATTTATTCTATTGAGACATATGTCATCACATCCTTCAAGGCAAATTTTCAGTCACTATTTTTTTCTCATAAAAACGTAGAAAATCTAATTCGCAGAATTCCTGTACGAACGACAATTTCACCAGAATAAAAAAAAATTAATGATTTTTCCATTTGAAAATTTCTATTTTCCACTGAAAATTCAACAAGATTTTCTGCATGAAGTTGTTTAGATTTAATAAAATAATACGTCATCCTCGCCCTAAGTTTTTTTCCCAGGTTTTATCCACTAATTGCTTCAAGAATATTGCAGACATACCTCATAAAAACCCCAGTTGCTCATCACTAACTAAAATAATGATTGGTTTTCAGATTGATGAGAATGGGGATGGTTTCATTGACCTGGCGGAGCTGCGTAACGCGTTAGACGTGTGTGGCTTCAAAATGCCAGGCTATAAAGTCCGCCAAATGATCGAGGAATACGACGACAAACAGCATCTCCAGCACAAGGGTCGCCTCTCCTTCGAGGAATTCGAAAAGCTCTGCAAAGAGTTGAAAGCCAACGAGCTGGGCTCGACTTTCAAAGCTGTTGTATCAAAGAAAGAAAACTTAGAGACTCTCGGAGGGATATCCGAAGCGTCCAGCGAAGGCACAACTCACTCGGTCAGATTAGAAGAACAGTTGGCTTTCAGTGACTGGATCAATACAAATCTTGGACATGATCCGGATCTCAAACATTTGTTACCCATTGATTCGGAAGGGAGACTGCTGTATGATAAAGTCAAGGATGGTATTCTGTTGTGGTAAGAGGTCTAGCCCAATTAAAAAAAAACAAAATTGATTATAAGAACTCTATTTCATTCTTTTGTGCTAATTTCTCTTGACGAGAACGTAATTTTGCCTCACGTTTTCTAACATTTATTCTGTTTATATTTCTAATGCGAAAGAAAGCAGATGGAAAAATTGGGAAATTAATACCCAAAGAATGTTAATAGGAGAAATTTCAAGAAGATAACTCACAGAGAAAAATTAAAGTCTATTGTGTTTTTTGTATAAAAACTTATTGAAAAAGTGAATAGAAATTGTTCTCTCATTCAATTTCGTACAAAAAGCTCTTGAATTTTGTTATTCCTTGTCTTTTTATTATTCTCACGTGATTGATAATTAACGATCTTTAATATTTAACGATCATTCCAGCAAAATCATCAATCACTCCTGCCCAGACACGATCGACGAGCGTACCATAAACAAGAAAAGTCTCACCCTCTACAAGAAGCACGAAAACTTGACCCTGGCCCTGTCGTCAGCCCAAGCAATAGGCTGCAACATAGTGAACATCGATGCCCACGATTTGACAAAAGGCTCCCCCCACTTGGTTCTCGGTCTTCTCTGGCAAATAATCCGAATCGGTCTCTTCAATCAAATTACCCTAGAAAACTGTCCAGGCCTGGCGACCCTCCTCCAACAGGGCGAAAGAATCGAGGACCTCCTCAAGCTCTCCCCCGAGGCAATCCTCCTTCGTTGGGTGAATCATCACTTGGAGAATGCTGGAATCGCCCGAAGATGCAACAACTTCCAGTCCGACATTACAGACTCGGAGATTTATTCCCACTTAATCAAACAAATAGCCCCGAATACCTCTGACGTCACACTGGAGGCTCTCATGGAGCCCAATCACATGACAAGGGCTGAGATAATGCTTCAGCAGGCTGGCAAACTCGGCTGCAGGAGTTTTGTGACAGCCAGTGACGTTGTCAACGGAATTTACAAGCTCAATCTTGCCTTCGTTGCCAATATGTTCAACAATTACCCAGGATTGGACAAACCAGAGACGAATATTGAGGGGCTGGACGCTCTGGAGGAGACACGAGAGGAGAAAACGTACAGAAATTGGATGAACTCCATGGGAGTGTCACCCCACGTCAACTGGCTTTACTCAGATCTCGCTGATGGTCTGGTGATATTCCAACTCTACGACATCATCAAGCCTGGAACAGTCAAGTGGCCCAAGGTGCACAAAAAGTTCACCAAACTTCGGAAATTCATGGAGAAATTGGAAAACTGCAATTATGCTGTGGAGTTGGGGAAGCAAATGAACTTTTCACTTGTCGGCATTGCAGGCCAGGATATCAATGATGGAAATGCAACCCTCACTCTTGCTCTCATCTGGCAATTGATGAGGTCGTACACTTTGTCGTTGCTCTCTAGCCTCGCTGGAACTCCTGGAAGCACCATCGTTGAGAAGGAAATCGTTCAGTGGGTCAATTCCAAGCTGCAAGGGGCTGGCAAGCCCAGCAGCATTAAGGGGTTCCAGGATTATGCCATTGCTGATGGCAGACCTCTTATCGATCTTATTGACGCCATCAAACCTGGGAGTGTTAATTATGATCTCGTGAAATCTAGTGGCACTGAGGAGGTAATTTATTCTGTTTTTAGATCTGTGAAAGTATTCAGTGGAATTATATCGTAGAGGTTTTATTTATCCTGGAGCCTCATTTGGGTTATTATTAATACAAATCTAGGATTAATTAATTTTTTGTATCCTGGGAGGATTTTTAGATATTCTCCCTGGTAAAATAATCGATGGAACTTCGAACAAGCTGGGCCCTACTGTTCTTATTAGTAAATAGTGTTAAATGAGATATTTATTTGTAAATATCAATTTTTTACTAAAGTGAGAACCTGTTTACAAAAGTAAAGGAGACTGGGATAAGATGTTTTAAGGATTATTTGCCAAGTTATAAGACAGAATAGGAAATTCTATTCAATTTTTGCATTCTCAGAAAAAACTTGGGAAAACTGAGGCCTAGAATTTCTTATCATAAAAATCACAACAGCGAATCCCTGAAGACAAAGAACAGATAGTAGTCTTCAAATATTGTTTCCCAAGTAATCGTTTTGAATAGTTTTCCATTGAATTTTTTTCACACGTGTACCATCCCCCACAAAAAATTCTTAATTTCACAACATTTTAATTCTTATCTAATCTAAATTGCAGGACAACCTAGATAACGCTAAATACGCTATATCACTGGCGAGAAAGTGTGGTGCACGTGTGTACGCACTGCCAGAAGACATCACTGAGGTGAAGCCCAAGATGGTAATGACAGTATTTGCCTGCCTAATGGCGATGGATTACGTTCCCAACATGGATTCCAAACAAAACAGCATTAATAGTCTCAATAACGAAAGTAACAACTCAAATGGGCAATATTAAAATATTCGCTATCATTGACGTACCTATGCTTCCTCTTTCCAATGACACTGGGACAATGTAAATACACGAATCAAGTTGGAAAGACCGGCATAATGAGTCAAAGGGAAGGGCTATTCAATAGTCAACTTTCTTCCCTCTCTTAGAAGTCCACAAATACATGCAAATTTATCATTTATAAACACGAACGAAAAAAACATGGAAAAACTTGGTGACTTCGATAGGAAATACTATTGAATTTCTATTTAAGAAGAATTTTGTAGCTCTGCTGCGCGTTTTTTTAATAGAAAATGTCCAATCGAAAGTATTTTATGTAAAAATCTGTAGAATTTCATCTTTCAATACAACTTTTTATATTGAGACATTTTCTATAGGAATTCCTCAACGCGAATCTTCTCATTTTTTTTCACCCCGTTTTTTTTTAACAATTGGAAAAATCGAGTACAATAAATTAATAAATTAAACCAAAAAATTTTTATAGAAAATATCTCAATAGAATATTTTTGTGCTATCAAAAATCCAATTCTATTGATTTCTTCTATAGAATATTTTCCATTGCAATGGAATCGGCCGAAAACAAATGGAAATTCAATGGAATTTTCCAACAAATTCGTTACATTTTTCTATGAAATGTTTTCGTACGTAAACGCTCGCTTCCAATTAACCGTACCTATGTGTATCAAAAGTATATATATTTTTTTCTATTTTAAGTAATATATTGCAATCAACTTATATTATTGTATCTGCTGCGATATGAAAAATCGGAAATCAAAGCCTAGGATTTTCTTTGAATAAGACTACACAAATGAGCCTAATCGAAGGAAAGAATACGTTGACGTTTCGGGTCATTTGCCGCATAACGAAATGAATAATGTATTTTTCTTTCACCATCGAAATTGCAATATATACGTATATGGATAGAATTTAGTCAAGACGCACACTAATCATGTCAAGTGCCATCGAGAATAAATGAACTTTTCAACAATTGAAATTTCAAAATTGAGGGATTGTGAATTGTTTTTCTTTTCACAACGTGCGATAATAAATTTTCTGTACTTACTAATTATATCGTCGAATTGATAACGATGATCAGATGAACTAGGAGTTCTCCATTCGCATGGAGAATTATGTTACACTAATCTTCAATCATCCTTGGGTGGTAATGGACAAGAGAAAATAGGGTATTAGTGCGTACACGTAGAAATAAATGAGTGAAGAACAAGAGACTGCCTCTAAAATGAAAAAAAAAGCAATCTTGGTGAACTAACACAGCGTAAGAGCATATATGATGTAATTTTACAACATAATACACATTTCGTCTATTGACGTCCATCAAATTTGTACAATTTATATGTGAATTTATACCAATCTTTTGATACGTATGTTTGAGCAGAATAGAAAAACAGTAATTAGTGCATAATTGAAGGGGCACTTGCAATGAATTTATTTAAGGATGAGAATGGAAAAGGAAATTAATCAGTACGCATGGACGTGCGTACGCATGCAAGTCATTCAACTATTTTTTATTTTTCAAGTTATCAAATATTTTATGGAACTATCAACATACGAATGATATATGTAAGCGAAGTTATGATTTTGTTGCCGATATATTTAAATAAAAAAAAGCGGAATGAAACCGTTTTTATTCAACCACTTGAATTACATATTTTATTATTAATTTTACATGGAGATTACAGTCTGACGATTTTAGTGTTACTATTGTGCATTAAACGTGGGTCTATGAACTCTGGTAGATATTTTCTCTGGTAAGTGAGGACCTGATGCAACGAATTCAGTGAAAGACGACAGTTTCTATATGTTATAACGGGCATTTGGGTCGTTATCTCGGAATAAATAGAGTATTAAAAGTGAAATCACTAGCATTCAAGTTGAGGTGACGAGCCAGCATTCGAAAAATGAGGACTTCGGTGCCAAATCGTGAATACTGCTTTTATTCTAACGCATTTCGAACATTTTATCGTTGATTGTTATACTATTCCGCCGAGTGCAGTCGATGATCTCTTCAGGATCATTTCAGAGTAAAGAATGACGATAGATCCAGACGACAGTCGCAACTCAACAGGCTTCACAGACATCCTCCAAATGATTTACAATTTAGGGATTCGAAGGGGATACGCAACAATAGATTAAAATAAAAAAACCGGAATGTAACCGTTTTTATTCAGCCATTTGAATTACATATTTTATTATTAATTTTCGATGAGGATTACAGTCTGATGATTTTAGTGGTGCTGTTGTTAGACTCTGTGATGCATTTGAGCGGTTCATTAGCAGGTTCGATGCTCATTAAACGTAGCTCTACGAACTCTTTGGTAGATATTTTCTCCGGTAAGTGAGGAACTGTTACATAGCCTTCGCTGACAGTGAGACTCCCGAAACTGTGAGGGGCCACAACGAATTCGGTGAAAGACGACAATTTCGATACGTTATAACTGGAATTTGGCTCGTTCGAACGGAGGAGATGGGGTATAGCATCAGCACACTGTGTTGTATCTCTGGTTTTGTTGATAACAACGAGGGGGTGCTTGTCTCCATAAGTAAATGTTTCCAGATGAATTTTATCACCGCACTTGCTGCTCCATTGTTCACTTTTGAACTTGATTTTCGTCGACACGTCTATCTGACTCTTGCACTGACCAATCATCGTGTGTTCTTCTTTGTAAATGGTGAAGCTGTCCTCGGTTTGATCGAAATCACTGGCATCCAAGTTGAGGTGATGGGCGAACGTTCGAAAAATGGTACCTTCGGCCCCACTAGTTGAGGAATGTATTCGCAATTTGTGAATGCCATGTTTATCGTAAAGCATCTCGAACATTTTGCCTTTTATCTTCAGGTTGAAGAGTACTCCATCGGACTCCCATTTCGGTGGCTGTAACGAATTCTCAACGTTGTATTTATGACTCTCTGCATTCAGTATGCGACATTGTAGAGCGTCAGCCTGGTCCTCAGAGGATGTCGAAAATGGCCTGCACTTTACGATAATTGTATTGTTTGTGCCAGATTCCTTCATTGTAGGTGCGTAGGTCAATGAACTATTGACTTTGAGACGATACGTGTATTCAGGACCATATTTCCACAATTCGGGCGAATCCTCCACGCATTTCTCGTACCCTATCAAGCCAACTGCAATTTCAAGGGATTCAATCATCAGCTATTACTGATAATCTGATAAGAAAAAGTTTTACTTACTAATAAACGGTATCACACTTAAACTCTTCATGTTGCTACGGAGCTCACAGTGACAATAACTGGTTCACATCCGGGCGAAAGCTTTTATATACCGGACGAAACGGTGGGCGTGCGTTATAAATTACTCAATTGCACTCGTGAAATTTGCCGCATTGACGCGATGATTCTGCAATTGAATAATCGTGTTTTTAAAATAACCTTCAGACATATTATAAGTAGCCGTCGTATTTATTTCGCGTATTTGGTCGATGAAACTTCATCGGTGCTCCCTTGAAGGGTAACAGAATGCCGCTAGTTTTCCAATTTTTGGAACAAATTTCCGGCTGAAAGTTAACGGTACTTTTATAAATCCAAGCACATTAATCTCCAGGAAGCGATAATGGAGATCAATGTGCTTTGGGTTAAAAAAATATTGATAACTTTGAGCAGGAAATTTGTTTGAAAATTTCGGGGAAACGGTAGCCTTCTGTTACCCCTTAATTGCAGGAGAAATAGACATCCGCGCGTAGGTCTTCACTCTCCACCGTATTTTTTATGCCGGAGAGGAAATTGTAGGTATTATGAAGTGGATTCTTTGAACCCTTCGTTAATCATAATGTTGAGCCCCATGTAAACCCTCTGAATGTATGGAACATTAGTATAGGTCGCTACTGGGGAGCGATTGGGTATCAGTAGTGCGACTATCGAAATGTGGGTGAATCACTAATGCCTGATTTTGAACATAAGATTAGAAAAGTATATTTTGAAGACCTGAAATTAAAGGCAGATGTTTTCCTCTCCAATTTTGCTTTTAATGGTAGCGGATTAAACCTGATATTTCAAATCTAACAATTGCAAGAACTAGTACCGTTAGCAGGTGTGAAGGATGCGTCGCAAAATTATACAAATTTTCATTTCGAAGGCGTATTCTAGATTAATCAAAATGATTATAAGTACATATCAACTGGTTAGTATTTTTTTCTCTCTTATCCGTCGAATAGGACAATTCGCTAACAATTCTGTTTCATTTTCTATTTCATAGTTTTTTTGTCTCTCATTTCGAAATCTAAGGCTGAAACTTACAAATTTTATTAAAATTCTTAATTTAATTATCTTTTCATAGGAAAAATCGCAATTGAGTTATATAGAAAAATCGACATTTTTCTGTTATGAGAAGATAATACAGTAGGATTTCATAATTTTCGATTGAAATTGGAAAAGGACAATCCTTCTGTAGAGTTTTCATAGAGAGCCAATTCTTTTCAATTCCGTCAGTCGCACAAAAGTTACGACGGCCGTTGATTGCGTCGGAAGCGCTGCGCCGCACCAACATAAATCGACATAATGATAAATTTGAAAGATCTAGAAAAAATCTGAAAAAAATGAAGAGTAACGAGAGGGTCAAGGGATATTCGAGAAATAATTACGAAGTTGATTAAATTGTCATAGTACGATAATAATAATTAATAGTAATAATTGTAGGTGCGATAATTTACCGAAACGTCGCACTATGACAATTTAATCAACGTCGTAATTATTTCTCCAATATCCCGTGACCTCTTACTATTAATGAACATCTCGGAGACGAGAATAATTACAAAATCAAGAGTGATCTAGATCGTATACTTCAAGAAATCCCGTGGGCATACACGGTACACGGCCCGGAGTTTCGGAATAAAAATGAGGAAATCTAACTAAATCTACTAATGTCTAACTAAATCTACTAATTATATTTTTGGTGGCTATTTTCCCTGACAGGTCTTCTAGACACTTCAAAATGCGATGTCAATTTTTTTTTTTTTTCTGAGGCTTTACTGCAGAGCAATTTAAAAAATCGGAAAAAGTGCAGCGGAAAGTGCATTTCTAAGATTGCAAATACGTTAATAATGGTTGATAGAACCTAATTTGAATGAAGATACAACAGAATTCCAACAGAAACCCAACTGAATTTTCCAGCGAGCATTTCATCGAGTTTTTTCACGTGTGTGTGTGAGGAGAATTCACCATAAATCAACAGATTACGGGGTTTCGTTAGAGCCTCATGTTCAGTGGATTAATTTTGATTTCCTCCACCTGAAACAGCAAACAATATTGCATTCATTATCTGCGTTTGCACGCATAAATCAAAGAAGAATGGCTGAATGAGATGACTCACTTGCACATTGCGCGGAGCTGAGAGAGCGTAAATGAGTGCGTCAGGGATGTCTTCTTGCTGAACGTACGGTAGTTTATCAAATGCTCTAGGATCTCCACCCGACATTTCCAGGAGTTCGGTTTTCACCATTCCTGGGTATATTCCCTGTTAGGATATGAATCGACAGCCCAAAGTCAGCAAGAGTTCCATCGAGAAATTCATCAGAGAGAAATCGAAAATAGGCGAACACTCACAGTTACCCTGATATTATCTTTGTTCCTACGAGTTTCCTGTCTCAAATTTTCAGTTAACGCATGCAGGGCGAACTTACTCGCTGGATAGAGGCTGATTGGGACGGGAGAAAGCGTTGCATTCAGCCCCAAGATGCTGGAGAAGAATAAAACACTGTTTATTCGAACACTACAACTACGGAAAGATCTCTAACTGTAAATGATAGCCTGTGACACGACGCTGGCTGTCAAGGCTGTCTCCGACCTCAATCTCATGCTTGAAATTCAATAATATTGTGGTTTATCGGTCGCTTCGTGCATCGTATCCTATTCCCTACGAGTTCTCAACCGAGTGCCATCCCACTCGATCGTTAGTTACCTATTGATATTGAAAATATGACCCTCCACGCCACGCTGACGTATAGATTTCACAGCTTCTCTTGCGCACACAGCTGGGGCGAGAACATTAACTTCTAGAATAGCTCGGAAATGTTCGGTTGATCCCTCTATAAAAATCCAAAATATTTCATTCAATATAACAGTTTAATTGGTAATTTAATATTGTATTTTTTGTCGAAATTAATGCGGAGAATTTCGACAATTAAGGCTCGGGCGTTTTTTTTTTTCATTTTGATAGTCTGGAATATTTTACAGATGTCATTGAGTTTTACGGAGCGCTGGAGTCTTCAAAAATTGTGATTGTGTAACAGAAAAGATGGAAAAAGCTGGACGTGAAAAAAGCGTTTGTGAAATTGGGAAATAAATCCAATGGGAGGAAATTGCAAATGAATAATTCACTATATTCGTGGCTGCAGATCGTAAGTTGCCGTGATAAATTATCCATTTGCAATTTCCGTCCGATTGAACTTATTTGTTAATCTTTATCTAAAATCTTCTTTGGAAATTGTCGGTTTTTTCTACTTTTCATTGGTCCAATAATTGTAATTTTCAAGAAATCCTGCGTAATGTAACATCGAATGGAAATTGAGAAAGATCCCAGATTGTAAAGATGGAAGAACAATCGAGACAGCGTGTGGAAGATAATCCATCCGGGCCTTAATACGAAATTTAAAATTCAACTTTTCTACGAATCAATTTTTTTTCTTTTAATTTTTTTCTTTATTTTGATAAGCTGAAATATTTTACAATTGCCATTCAGTTTCACATAGCGCTGGAGTCTTCAAAAATTGTGTTTGTTCAATATTAAAAAAGTAGAAAAACGCTGAACATTTTTAAAAAGGATTTCCCAAAATCTATTGATGGGGAAGAAATCGCAAATTGACAATTTACCGAGTCCAATGGCTGTCAAATCTTCAGTTGCCATGATAAATCATCAATTTGCAATTTCCTCCCTATTAAACTCATTAGATAATCTTTATCAACACTCCGTTGGTCGCGCAAAAGTTACGAACACCGTTCATCGCGCCGTAAGCGCCGCGCCGCACCAGCATCAATCGATATAATGATAAATTTGAAAGATCTAGGAAAAATCTGAAAAAAATCAAGAGCAATTGAGATCGTATGCTTGAAGAACTCCCGTGAGATTCTTTATGTTCAGTGTTACCTTTAATTACATATTTAAGCTCAAAGTTGCCATGTTTTTCTGAAAATTCGCCTGATACACTGTACACCGCCCGGAATTTCGGAATAAAAATTTGAAAATCTAACTACTGATGATATTTTTGTGCGAATATTTTCATCGATAGGGCTTGTAGACTTCTAAATGAGATGCCAAATTTTTTCAAATTCTTGTGAGGCTCGACTGCAGTGTAATTTAAAAAATCGGAAAAAGTCCGGCGCGGCGCTGATAGCACGACCAATAGAGTGCTAAAACCCCCTTTGAAAATGTTCATTTTCTTGTTGCCTTCATTGACCGTACAATCATAATTAAGAATTTCTGAGCCACGTAAAATCAAATGACAATTCCGAAATATGTATTTCAAATTGTAAAGAGAAAACCTTCACGGAGAGAAATATTCATAAAAATTACGTATCTTTTCCGTAATTCCGGAGCGAAATGTGGTTGTAGAAAATTTTACGGAACTGTCACGGAATTTTTCCGGAGCGTTCCGTAATTTTTATCTGAATCTCCTGTGAAAAATTACGATACCGTCGTAATCTACGCGGGCCCTAATTGATAAGTTTGACGATGAAAAAAAAATTCAGTAGCGAAGTGGTAAAAGGAGATAAATCAATTTCGACTATTAACCAGTTTTCAATCATTATCTCGGAATCTAAGGGAGATAGCAAAATGTTTGTTATAACCTTTTTTGTGGAGCCGATTGAGTGCTACAACAAATGTAATTACGAAAATTTCACTATCTCCCTTAGATTTGGAAATATTCCTCAAAAACTGGGAGATAAGTCGACTCATCTCCGTTTACCACTTCACTACTGAATTAAAGACTCTTGAGCGTTCTCAAAAAGAGAACAATAATAATCAAATAATGATTATCATTACCCGTGATTGATTCGTGATGACAGATGCCCGCATTATTCACAAGAATGTCAACACCGCCCAATTTATCTTCCGCGTATTTGAACGCCTTCAAGATATCGGCTTCATTCCGGACATCGGCCTGAACCGGATGGAGCGAACCTTTGGACCCTTCGAGAGATTTCGACAGCCCTTGTAGCCGCTCCTCCCGGCGTGCGACACCCACAACGTTAATCCCGGCTCCCACGAAGCCTTTGGCGATGGCTTCGCCAATGCCCGAGCTCGCGCCAGTGACAAGAGCGATTTTTCCGATCCACCGTTCCATAGTTGCAATGCTACTACTGCAGACTGGCACTATCGCCTAGTTGCGCTGTTGCCCTCTCCTCATTTTCATATCGGTTTACCCAACAGTGGTATATCGAGTGTACTCACACACTGATAATATCAACTGAGTCCACATTAACGGTTGCGAAGTGCCTCGTAAGTGGCAGTTTTCCGATAAATAGAGAAGAGTTCTCCTTTATGAAAATTTTTCTTTTTTAAACGCGGCCCGCGATTTTTTTGCGTCATGCGTGCCTGGCTATGGGCAGGGTTGTTTCGTTTTGTTGTCAATTTTGAAAACAAAACAAAACATAAACAATAATAATTCGCAATGTATTATTGTATAATTCAGTAGCGAAGTGGTAAACCGGTTTAAGTCGACTTAATTGACCCAATTGAGTTTTTGAAGAATGTTTCCGAATCTAACGAAGATAGCGAAATTTTCGTAATCACATTTATTGTAGCTCTCAATCGGCTCTACAAAAAAGGTCGTAGCAAAAATTTTGCTATCTCCCTTAGATTCCGAGATTTTTATTAAAAACTGGTCAATAGTCAAAATTGACTTATACCGATTTACCACTTCGCTACTGAATTGTTGGTTTATTTTCATAAATGTCCCTAGAAGGTGGGATGAGTCGTAAGGAATGCTCTTTGCGGAATTTCATATGTAATTTCATATGTAATTTCATAAATTGCATAAATTTTTTTTTTTGGGAGTGAATTTTTCTTAGATGGGGGAAACAAACAAATATGTGAAAGTAGAAATGAAAAAAAATTGATGCTTGCACTTTTCTTTTTTTCCTGATCGCTACTTGCGTTTTGGAGAATGCAGAGTCATCACTGTTTACTGCGAATTCACTTCGCAGCATTTTCACAGATGCATGCATTGCCGCTTCAATTTCAAGGAGCGAGAAGGAGACGGCGATAGTCGATCAAAGCTCACATGTAGATTGCAGGCGAGGGGAATGAGTCATAAAAACACTGTTATGTCTTTTCATTACATTTTGAATTCATTTATAATCGAATGCACAACAATCGAAATGATACGTAACTTCTGAACTGGTATTCAATGGTCTACCTATGTTAATTACTTTGGAATTTGTCACTCGATTTTTCAATGCACGGAGAAAAATGTTCAGTAAAAATTACGGAACTCACAATTCACTTACCGATTACGGAAGCGACTCAAAAAATTCAAGTGACGGTATCGTAATTTTTCACAGGAGATTCAGATAAAAATTACGAAACGCTCTGGAAAAATTCCGTGACAGTTCCGTAAAATTTCCTACAGCCACATTTCGCTCCGCAATTACGGAAAAGATTAAAGCGTAGATTTTATTGAATATTTCTCTCCGTGTGCTCTTCACATTTGTGAAATTGATCCGCGACTTGCGCTTTGAAAATAAATTTACAATTCAATGCACAACATTCGCTCAAATCATCGAGTTATGATTAGAAAAGAAACTAAAGTCGACTCGAGACTCATGAATACATCAGTAGGAGCAGTTATCGTAGGTAGATCGGTGGTAGCTTTAGTAATCGAGTCCAAAGTTAAGCTAATCCTCTGGTGAATATTGTAATGACACTTTCCTTGATTATGAGCGACCTCATCCGGACAGTAATTGGCTACGTTCTCAGTGAAAGAGACAAATTCGTCTTCAGACATGATAATGCGGCTGAACGACGACTTGGCTTTGATTTGCGTTCGGTTCATTACAATCGGCTGAACATTATCGCGATCGTACAATAAGTAGGTGCCCTTGGAACACGGCAGGTGTGAACCTTGGCTCTTTCTGAAATGATATGTAACACCTGAATTGATCTTCAGTCTTCTCCCTACGCTGCTTATTTTGAAATTCACCATTCGCTTGTCAATTTTCTTCTGTTTTGTGAATTTAATCATCGATTGGCAAACGGCAAGCGCACTCCTCGGAAATTTGTAATCAATCACTGATAACAATCCCTTCTGTGATTCATCCAAATTCGTCCACCAAATGTTCAACAACTCCGCGATTTCCGCGATTACAATGCGCTGCGAGTTCTTCGCTTGCGTCGCATCCACGAAAACCCTGTGAATTTTCCCATCTTTAAACAGAATTTGGAAAGGGCCAACATCGAAAATCGGAAATTTCACGTATCTAGGATTTTCAGAATATGCACTATTCATTCCCGTTTCCTGATACCATTGCCTGGACGCATCAGTCACGCTGCAAACTAAACTGTAAGCTCCCGAATTTCCGCACTTCAATTTCGCCACCACGTTCACATGTTGGGTGACATTCCCAAAGTTGTATTCCATTGTGTTGGACAAGTTGAATGTGTATTGTGATCCGTAGTAAACATCGTATGTGTCAATTGGTACATGTGCAACTGAAATGGAAGAATAATGATGGAATGGTTGAATGCGGGGCGAGAAAGTCGGGAAAAAATTACTGAATGCATGGAGAGAAATATTCAATAAAAATTCCGTATCTTTTCCGTAATTCCTGAGCGAAACGTGGTCGTAGGACATTTTACGGAACTGTCACGGAATTTTTCCGGAGCGTTCCGTCATTTTTATCTGATTCTCCTGTGAAAAATTACGATACCGTCACTTAAATTTTCTGAGTGAATTCCGTAATCGGTGAGCGAATTGTGAGTTCCGTAATTTTTACTGAACATTTCTCTCCGTGTGAATCAAACAATCATTCACAATAGTATGCTCATTACTAAAATATAATAATAAGCGAAAATATAAAATATAATGATTAACATCGTGGACATGAGATTTCATTATTTGCCGAATAATTTTTCCTCGACAAAAATCGAAACGAAATGATTTTTCGTTTCTCTGTGTAGAATGATATCAAGCAATCGGTAAAAACTTACCCAAAATAAATGGTATCAGCGTTTCAATCATAGTGGAATGGTTAGTGAGAGCTCATCTGAGCCTGTGAATAGCTGAAAAGCCCTTTTATGTATATCGCGCAATTGGCCATATCCAAGTGGGGGCATTATTATTCAATTTATTCGTACAAATAAAACTGGTTTAACTGACGCACACATCGCGGTCACTTTATTCGAGATACATACTGCTACATGCTATTGTTTGTGTTAGTTTTAGATTTGTTTTTATGGTAATTGTCACATGCGTTATTGGAAGATTCGACTTCAGATGAATTATTCCTCGCTCAGGTCCTCCTTGGAAAAGTCATCGTGGAGCCATTTTCCAGTGACTATTCCAGCCGACGCTGGGTCAACAATTTTCTCGATCTCTCCCTCAGCCGGGACTAAGGAATCGAATGTTACAGACATTTTTTCGTACATCCTCATCGTTTCCGGGGGTCGGGATTTTGCATTGTTCAGTTCAAGATGGGTTTCTGTTGTGGAACTGAAGTAGGTTTCATTTGCAATTATTGAACTCTCCGATGATTTCTGGAAATTGTATTTTTCAATAAATTAAACTGAGTATTCAGTCCGATACCGAAACACGATGTAAACACATCTCTTTAAATCTAAATACAAACGGCTTTATTCCACAACCACGAATTCTTATTTCCCGACGCGCACAAAAAATTCCAGCAAACTCTCGATTGTACTTACCAGGTTGACGATAACTCTCGTATTATCTCGCCAGTTCTCTCGACTTCCGAAGAAATAAGGTGCCATCACCCGGCACTTCTCTATATTCCGCGTTTTCTTGATGGATGTAGTCATCCGAGATTGCCATTTCTTCGATGGAACATCGTCCCCCGATTTATCAGCTGGATCGGACAGCTTTATCGTGTAAGAGGTGAAACAATCCCCTGTGGTGAAATTCTCCCAAGCCCTGTAGGTCCCCTCCGCTTTATCAGTCAGGTCTATTCCCGTGTGAAACTGGTTGACAATGGACCTGATCATGTCCAAAAGCGGGGGTGAGATCGTTGAAGGGACGAATAATTGTTTTATCCCGAATCGATTGAATCTCATTTCGAAATTGAACTTTGCCAGTTGCTTTTCACCATCGTCGGAAGGTGACACAAGCGGCTTTGCACTTGACGAGTTGAAAAAACTGAGGAGGGCGGTCGGTTCGCTCAGCCGACAGTTCAGTATTTTCGATCGCCGGGGCCAACATTTCAGTTGAGCTTCAATACTGTACATCGCTGTCCGATCAGTCTGATTCGTTGCTTGCTGCTGCGGTTTAGTGGTTGCATTGTACGTCACGTTATACCGTATCTCTGGTCCATATCGCCAAGTTTCGTTATTCAAACTTAAGTGATTAGCTGTAAAATTGAATAATTTTCACTTTAAGGCCAGGGTGTACTATCTTTCGAACGTTATCTCGATGTTTCTTTTCATCTTTCGTCATCTAAAATTGTCAATTGAGTCCTGCATCATGCAGAAGTTTTGTAGATAACGAAATTTTCGCAATGACCTTTTTTGTAGAGGGAATAGACGGCTACAAAAAATGTGACAAAATTTTTGCTATTCCCCGAGTCGAGGATTTGGTTCTGATTGGACGTACACAGGTCTTTCAAGATCTCTCCAGACCTGGATGGACCTGGTAAGTCCTAATCAGTTCTGCGGCGTACTTTTTCAGAGACCTTTCGAATCCTCAGTTCTTTTCGGTCCTGAGAAATCCTCCTCGATGCTACTGAGAACGCGTGATTTTCCGAGCGGGTGAAGGGGAAGGCATGTATGCGGAGGGTTGAAATTTGTAGCCAATGAGGAGACAGGGTTGCAGAATATATTTTAGCCACCCTCATCTCCCCGTTTGCAGGCGGTGTTTAAATAAAAAATAGTGAACGTTGATTCTGTATTTTATGACCCCTGATGCCAATGAAACCCTCGGGGGTGACAGAAAAGGGGAAAAAAAATTTTCATTTTCACGTGGGTCAAGGGTGAAAGTCGATTTTCGCCAAAATTGAATTTTTTCGCCAAGTGAAAGTTGATTCTGTATTTTCTAACAATTCTGATGCCAATGAAACCCCCGAAGGCGCG